GTACAGCACTCGGTCACTCACCGATCACCCTCCATTCTTTCCATATCCACATCATAATTTCTGCCATCCACCGAACAAATAGGTGAATACCGCATATCCACCCCGCTACAATCGCATTCCATGCTCACTGCACCGCGGAAGATTGAAACTGCATTTCGACCGATCGCAATTCCCGATTTGAGGTTTCTTTGTTGYTATGGTAGCAAATAGCACTCCTCGCCACCATGTGAATCTGAACGATCGAGAAGCGCGAGAGATTCTCGACGCGATGGAGGTCGATGTCGTGGAAGCATCGAGCAGAAGAGAGGAAAGCRTGGCGCACGCAATGGATGCATTTTCTTCCTTTGTCCTGTACGAAGAAAGAGAAGAGTGCAAGCAAATCCTTGAGCGGCACATGGGAGGAGCCGTTGGCGCGCTACAGGGAGGAAACGACGACGAGGAGATCTACCGCGTGCTCATCAACAACGACGAAGACGGGGCATGCTGCGAGCTGCTGCGTATGTTCCGAGCTAGAAGCAGGGAAGGCAAGAAGCTCGCTCCCTTGCTGACCCCCGAACGGTTCGAAGAATACATGCTCGGGATGTGCGATAGGCGTTCGATGTCCCGGTCGTGCAGAAAATGCACCCGGGTGAACAACATCATGTTCATCCTAACGTTCGGAACCACGATTGGCCAAGTCAGGCATATCGATAAGATGAATCCCAATCTCCAAATTTGTCTTTACATGTCGACGGATTGTCCGAGCACCATASTATATTATCTAGAAGAACCGGACGTCATCAACGGAGAGCAATTGGTGGAATACTGGGAAGAGACCAAATCTGTTCCCGACCTGATCAAAACCATGCTGCTACCCGAGCAAACATCCAGAAGGTTATTAGAGCAACACCACACCAAATTCTTTTCGTTCTGGGGGAGCATCGATTCGGTTCTCTACACCTTTGGCAAGCTGTACCGGCCAGTCTCGTCATCGGTGTSCTTTAGTGCCGATCCAGGCACCACGCTGATAGCCGGCGGCAATGAGGTGCACGCGGGGCCTCCTACCACGGGACCCCGCATGTTTGCCTTTGCCGTGGGGATCCCGGGAGAAGAGGARGGTGCCGACTACATCGAAGGCTCTGGCACGGATGCCGATTGGAATGGCGGCGATAACGAGGACAACGACGGGGAGATCCAATATTGCCCGGCCCTCCTCCACACAGATCTCGCTTGCATCCTGTTTGCGACAATGGACACCGAGTTTCCCGATCGGAGCGAAGAGCACGACGATGCAAAGCGATTCCTTCTSGGAATTTTGCGGGAACTCGTCGCCGACCAGCCGCAGGAAACCTACGAGCGCCTCCTTTCCGATGATCGCTCGGACCTGCGGGATTGGCTGGGGAGAGTAGCCCGTGCGACACTTGAGGGAGAGACATACGAGGTGAATAAGCTTCTAGAGGTGGCTCTTGAGAGCGATTCCATTTTCTACCCACCGGATATAGGAGGAACCCGCACCGGGAAGAAAAACAAAAAAGAGAAGCGGCGTGCCAGAAGAAAGAAAAAGAACCTCGCCTAGGGCTACAAGGAGAGAACAAACCCAGGCCGTGATCAACCGYTGAAAATTCATGTTGGAACTTTTTGCAAAACGATTKTTTTCGGATTGCAGTTTGGCGGACAGCAGGGGCGAATTGTTGTAGCTAATAGTTTGAATTTRAAAAATAAATAGAAACCGAAAGTAGGAGCTATAAAATCGTTTGAAGGCCCTCCTTTGTTCCTTATTCCCGCGAATACACAAACATGTAGCTTCACCATTTCACCCCARTATTGCAGTAAGTTCGGATCCATCCGGTATTRTGCCGTGCCACGCTTGTCGGCAGCACAACTTGCACCTCRTCCTCATAGGTATTCGCACTGATACGCGGTGTCAACGCTGGCCTTGACGTCAAAGCCGTTCTTRGAGGGGACCTCGAAGTTTGTTCCGGCGGGGTAGTGGATCCATTCGTCGGTTCCGTCGAGTTTGACCGTGAGCATGCCGCTGATCACGGTCATGCGCTCCGCGGCGTCGGTACCGAAGTGGTATTCTCCCGCGGAAATGATGCCAACGCTGAACTTCTTTCCGTGCCGTTCGCTGGCGAGGGACTGGACCTTGGAATCAAAATAGGCGTTGTGGGAAATCGGCATGTTGTTGATGGTGGTGAGTTTGGYTCGTTTCGCGTCGGGTGGGGAGGTGGACATGAATTMGATTAGGAGAGGTGAACAAGCAACGATGGATAGATCGAAATCGCTACCGCTGGATTCCGATCACAAGACCGTTGTGGTTTTGTGGCCAGAAGAGAAGAGAGATGGTATTCTTACGTTTTTGATGGCATACGGGACTAGAGACAACCATGACTAATACTGTTKATTTTGATTCATTCGACTGAATTTGATTGACTRCAAATACGTAATTGAACCAAAACCTTGCCATCTGCCCTCGCATCTCGAGCTGGTGACACAACTAGCTGCGCCAAGACATTTTTTGGAATTTTTGGAACAAAAGTTCTCGTTCGCGTTGAAGAACGATCTGTTTTTGCGACTCTCCATTCCTCTCCAATTGTACTCAGTTACACCTGTTGTGCACTCCGGTGCTTCGTGCGATATCGCATGCCAACATTTGGCCACTCGATTACCACAGAGAACACTTCTACGATATAAAACGAAACACAGCATCTCCCGAACAAAGCGACGGTTGGTATTCGATTCATCGCATTGCATGCTTCCGTCGACAATCTTGTGGATTTTCCGCCAATAATCCCGCGGACCGAATGGACCAAATGGATGTTTCTTCTGTATCGTCGGCAATAGATGCAACCTCGACGATGCCAGAACCAGCAACATATCCCAGACCCCCCCCGACACCCGCACAAGTCGCGGCGGAGGCCTCGTCGAGGCAGAGCTACCTGGCACCACCCGCTAGCAGCAGCAAAAAAAGCTGGCTCGATTCCTTTCTCGATCTGGTGGCCTACTCGGTGGCGCGAATCCTGAACCACCCCGACGTCCGCGACGCGGTCTCGTCGGCGATATTGGAGGGGATGGTCAAGCTCTGCTACGTCGAGGACCTGCACGAGCATTTGCGGCATGTCGATGAGACGCTGACAGAACACCAGGTCTCGGATGCCGCCAAGAAAGGAAAGGACGCCCAGAAGATCGTCCGRGCCTATCTGGGTGGCATGTTTGCYGGTGACAACGACGAAAGCAAAACCGACGACGCCGATAACGATTCCCGAAGGAACAGCAAACACACGGAGAACAACAACAAGAAGGTTCGGTAGCCGAACGGCAGTTGTAGACCGATACATAGGTTTCCAAAGAGTCGTGTTAAACTAGAATATCGAAGATGCAACAGAGTATTGCACGTTCGAAGCGCAACTCATACAATCATGACTGCTGGCATGACTTTGATTTTGTTACACTTCCATTCAAATCAAATGAAACTTCATAAAATGCTTAGGTTTTCATCGCAACAGCAATCTTTCTGGCCACAACTCCGGTGATTGTATCCATGATTGTCTGATGGTTGCTTCAAATTGGATGAAGTCACTTCTCAAAAACARAAGTTCTTGTTTCTTAAGGAAGTGATGCATATCACGTTGTCACAAGAAAATGTCACCAGGGATGGTGGCACAAAATTCKGTTTGTTTCGCTTTGTTTGTTGTGCATAGCTCATTTGCAATCAAAACGTTCCGGTTCGTTCGTTTGCTCRCGGGCAAATTCTATTTCATGGCCCCAGCTTCGCTCAGCGCCTCCCTCAGTTTTCCCTGGAAGGCCATGTCGACCATTCCCGGTGCGCTTGTGGAGACGCCCCCATCGAATCCCCCGATGTACTCCCCACCGACAAAGACAAAGGGGACCGAGGTTCGCCCGACCTTTCGCCCCAGAACCGCACGGACCGGGTTCCCCTCCTCCCATGGGTCGTCGAGGCGAAYGATCTTCACAGTAGCCCCGATGGTTTCAAAGGCCTCGACGGCCTTTTTGCAAGAGGGTGAGTTCTCCCACGTGTACATCACTGTCGTGTTGATGCGTGGTTTGTAGGGGAGTAGTTTGTTGAGGATTGGATTTGTGCAACACAGTATCAAAAATGCAACAGTCCAAAGAGTCACGTCAGTATGAAATGTCCGTAGGATGCGGTCGAAGGTATCAGCTGCACGGTTCTGTCTATGACAATACACAGTACATTCTTACCGSAGGGGGCTGATGAAATGGTGTCCTCGATTRTCGCGGAAACGGCTTCCTTATCGTAGTCATCTCCGGCGAGAACATCGGCCAGCACTTGCTTGAACCCATTCCCTTCCGCATTGGATTCTCTAGCGATCCTGAAACTCGTTTGGAGGGTGTCAACGAAGGAATTCGAGTCGGAGCTGCTGGCGCCGAGTTTTTTTGCCATCGGACGCGTCGGGTGCAACGGGGAAGACAGAAATGCGTCCCCAGAGGCTATCGCGAGTGTCAAGATTAGGATTGACTTGATCATTGTCACAAAATGTTGTGTGTCAATGGGAAAACTCTTTGTGTCCGTTTATGGTTCTTTCCTCATCGGGTTGTTCGTCGATAAGTACTAGCATGTGTAGACGACTACGCTACGAGTGCCGTATGGCAAGTATGTTACGTACCGTACGTACGAGGAAGATCTCATACCTCATCCGAGCCGATAAACTCACTTCTTCTAGTCGGAGGGGAACCCATCTGAAGAGTACGTACCGTACCCCAAGTACGTAATCCTACATACAGTATCCCACCGAGTTCTACAGGAACCATGTCGATTTCGATGCTTTTGGAAAAATTTAAATTCTCCGGTCCCCCTTTTTCATTATGTGATTGGTTTTGATCACAAAAAATGTGATCAGAAATGATCACAAAATTGATGAATTTATAYGTACTTYATTGTTACATCAAAATTTYAATTATTCAAAGTCGTAGTAGCACATGGGGAAACAATTCATATAATATATATCTMCTACTATTCATTGAYATTCATATTCATATTAGTACTACTRSTRGYASMMCATCACTAMTATGTTCTWAGAGTACTGCAGGACTGGTGTACCAGTACAAATGTGTAATAATACTAGTTTTATTTATATTAAATCTAATATAAAAACAGGACTAGTATAAGATGYATGCAAATGAATTCAAATTTGTGATCAAGATTGATCACAAAAAACTGATCACATTTTTTGTGATCAAAACTGATCACAATTTTTGATACCAGGAGGGGGCCTGGGAATCTAWTTTTTTCAAAATTGACTTTAATGTGAGCTCAGTGTTTAACACAACCGTTACCATAAGAGTTAATAGAATCTGGTAGCATTTAGTATGGTCTACCAGATTGCTACCAGATTCTTGTTGTTGTTACCAGATTGCTACTACCACCATCAATGTTACCAGATTGGTGCTACCACAAATGCTACTACCATAATACATGCCGTGCTACCAGAATAATTTCTAAAATTCCAGTAGCCCCCATTDAGTATCAAGTTTTGTACTAAGTTCAAAGGATGGATGCTCTCTTAAGAGAGCCAGCTCCATTCTTGCTGCCACCAGRCTATTGCCTGCTGGTAGCATGCCAGGCACCTCCAGGTAACTATTGGTACCTGAATTGCTACTAGAATTRCTACCATCTTGCTACCATCTGGTACCAATCTGGTAGAATTTCTAGTCGCAATCCAGTAGCTCTGTTTCCTACCAGATTTTTTTGTAATAATTAGATTCTTTTAGCCCCCTCCCAAAAGTTTCAGTCCTCGTACACAATATGTTCCATTCCAGTAACGGGTMTACTAGTAGCCAAGGTACGTAGTAAAATAGTCGATGATGATTGTCCCTGACAAATTGTCATACTGGTACATTTGAGGAAGGAAATAGATAGATTTCTCATAGTAGTTTTGATTTTATTCACATTAATTGCACTGCCCTATTGTAGGTTGGGAAATGAAAAGAAGAATTAGCTAACTTACAAAGAGAATTGTGCTTMGGCAAGTAACTTGGGCTAATTAAAATACAGCACACTTAAACTAGATTGGACCCAAGGGATTCTTTAAAACAAAATAATGCTACTGTCAGGGTGAGGAGCAATCGTAAATTGAGATTCTTCTGCAGCTTTTTTATAGAATCAAATTGCTGTTTTTATTGATAGAACTCTTCAAGTCAGTTTCCTTGAAGATTCTTTGGACTCCTCAACGTGCAATATATCAGCTCACAGCTTCTCTTTATCGTAGGACACGAATATTTGTGGCATGAAGTACGAAAAAAGCATASTGAATAAGTAGGTTTCATAATAATTAATCATTTCCTAGCTCTTGAGAAGTTGTATTTATAGTCATAGTATTGGTTATTCATCCTTGGCTTTGGTTACTTTGGAACGTAGTGTGGAACCTTCATAAATTGYCCATGCCGTAGCGGTCGAGTCTCATGTTCGAGTTCMATTAGAATATTGCTGTTGCCGTTGTTCTCGCCATTATTATTGCTTGTTTCCTCCCTTTCGACGTCGACAATGTGTCGAAATCGAAGGGTTCGTGAATTCTTCGCTTCTTCCCACGTATCGCAAGTATCAAGATGGAAAAACCTGGGATTCGACCAGATTAGGGACTTGTCGGAAAGGCGCTTATACAACCCGTAAAAATCGTGGGCATAAATGCAAATGTGAACCCCCTTCATTAGGCGTTGTGCAATTGCCTCTTCTTCGTTCTCGGAACCAATGCTGCCTTCTACAAACACCAGATGAACGCCAGCTCCGACGGAAACGACGCAGCAATCTCTTTTTTTTCCATCGCACGACGTTTGTAGAACCTGTGCTGGACACCTAAGCATACGTTTGTAAAAGCCATACAATTGATGCGACGATACACCTTTGGGAAGAATCAATTCCACAAAACGTATTCCTGGCAGTCCAACTCCCAGGACGCCCATTTTGTCGGCCCCGTGGATGCCGAGTTGTGGTGCATGCAGGTTGGTCATTTTTTGTGGGGACTCTTCTGGTTTCGCAAAGGGCGTAGGTGGTGTACCACGGGATTTTACTGAATAGCAACGAAATACATTTCCCCAGGGGCATCGGACGTGGACAATTTTGTCGTCCTCGTCGTCGTTCTCGTCGTGTTCTTCGTAAAAGTCAAAAAGTGTCTCACGAAAGCCGTAGTCGTTGTTTCCCTCAGCATYTTTTCTTGCATCTCGAAGTCGATCAAGTAGTGCCTCCAGATCGGGAACCGCCAATCCGATGCTTCCATGGATACGGTGTGCCACCTCATCGTCTCGCTTGGGCGTCGCTAAATGGAACTGCTGCCGTCCAAGATTCACGTGAAAGGATTTGCTCTTGTCTGCCGTCATTCCCATGACATCCAAGTAAAAAGACTCTGCAACAGAGCGATCTTCCGCGACTTTACCAACAATCAGGTTGATGTGCTCTAGCCACGCAACCCCTGGAATGTYTAGAAACGAAGAAGAATCGTCGTCTTCGTTGTCTTCGATTTCTTCCAGAAGAGCGGCTCTGACCACGAGGTTTCGCAATTCGGTTCCCGATAGAGGAGATCTATTTGTGTCTCTCCAAGGTAGCACTTTGTCTGTCATGTTCGATGTTTGTGTCKCTAGTTCTGAACTGATTAGCTGGGTATTCAATGAAACTGAACTCGTTACGTGACTGCTGCTTTGGCGGTGAAAGGCACAACTGTTTCTACCGTTTGGACCCCTTACGCCGGTGCTTGGCGCGCTATTGCCGCGGTCGATCGAGAATGCTGCCGTGTAGAAAGAACAGAGATACGACAATGCGAGAAAGCCAACAATCATTGTCCAAAGCTTTGTCTCTCCTTGCCCCGATGTTCCCTTTCAATTTCAATTAGTTTGACAACTCGGTAATCGGTAAGAGTTCGAAATCACTTGTGCAAAATTTTGCAAGCAGAGTTCTGTTCACTTTCAAACAACGTATTACGAAGTAGTATAGTATATTAGTATGATGATTATTACATAGTATACATATGTATGAATAGTACAGTATTACGTATTAGACGATGATAGATGATACCAGTCTCTTGTGTCTTCCCGTACTCGTACTCGTACTAGTATTCGAGTCTACGTACGTGTACATATCATGCATAAACCTTCTAGTCCCGAATCTCATTCCTTTCACGGTTCGCGACCACAACGCCTTGCTTTAGCGAGTCGTGGTTTGCAACGGATGTGAAAAGAAAATGACTRCTAAGTACTGTACTTCGTAGGTAAATAACCCATACTGCGTCACCGTATCGGTAGGATCTTCTCATCATATTGAATCGGTTGGCTTTCGGGAAGAAAATTCCGAAGCAGAATACGCATGTGGTGTCCTTGCTCGACCGTTGAACAACTCCCAGATTCCGTCTGAACAGAAATACAAACTATCTAAAAAATGGAATTCCATGCAAGAAGCGTGCAAGAGGCACCACAATAGAGCATTGGCCTTACGTTGCTGGAACGCAGCAGAGCTGTTGAGAGGGAAGAAACAGCAAACAGTCGAATACAATCGATCGTGGAGGAAAGACTCATTAAGATACGTTAGGTTGAATACGTTACGTGACGAGGGCTCCGCCGACGTGACGGGTGGCAACGTGATTCAAGAAAGGGCAGGAAGAGAACTGACGAAACCAAACGGGGTAATCGATCATGGCAAATACTTCTACACGGCAAAGGTCGTTGACGTTCGATCCCTATGTGTATGCACCAGACGATGAATTGCTAGATAGGACAATGACAACGCAACAGACAGAAAACCAGGAACAMGACCGTGKCTCTACTCGGAATAGACTATTGAATGTGCAAGCTTTCGAAACAATTTCAACATCAGCTCCTATTGCTTCTCTTTCGACTGACGACGACGAAGATCGCATTCCTCCTCCCATCGAAGTTGTAGGTGCGAAAACGTGTACCAGTAGAGCTGATAATCATCCGGATTTTGCATCATGGAAACGGGACGTATTCGGAACGCTACCATCATCCTCGTCTTCATTCTCACCAAATAGTAGAAGAGAACTTATTGATTGGAAGACGGCTCAAATCAGCAAACGACTAGAAAAACAGCTCCGATTACAGGAGCAGCTATTGCGTACAGTAAAGAGCGACATAAGCAACGACGACAGCAACGAGAGCAGTTATATCAACGTTTTGAACAAAGARTTGAAAGATAATAATACATTTGAAACAAGAAACTCTTCCTATATGCTTGGCGACGAATGTAAAGAAAGCAACAACGAGAACCAGAAYACACAACCTATGTCAGAACAAACGACGATCACACATTCCATCTGTAAGATAAAAAAATTTCATCCAGAATCTACCGTCACCAACGTTTACGTTCGACAAGAAAAAGAAGGAAAGGCGAGGAGGTGTCATCARCAAGATCAACAGTACTTAACAATGGCAGTACCTCCAAACTCACCAAAAATGAAGAATCATACAATCTCTTCTCTCTCGCTTAAAAGAACTGGTATCCCCGAAAAGAAGAACAATTCGACACAGCTTGCTGCAATCATGATGGAGCTGGCTGAGCTCAAGGATTGGGTAGCGAAAGACATTGATAATGCGATTGCGGACAATGTTGCTGATTCTCCGACTTCGCTCCCATCGATTGCCACCCGTCTCCGTCAATCGACGCCTCCGTCTTCACCAACATCGCCCGCGCCTCCCGCAAGTCGTGACAAACCCGAGCTCCAGATCCCATCTCTTGATGTACCGAACCTTGTGTCGCCGCCATTGTCGCCGGAAGCAGACCACAGTACTAAGAATGAGAACAATGAAATGATTAAGACCGAGAGCCCTCTTAAAGTCGAGACGAACATGGACGCTATGGAAGCAACCATGAAATCGAAAGAGAAAAAGAGCGTACGGTTCGCATCTCCAGAGATTACCGATACGATTTACCGACCCTTTACACCTCAAGAAGAAATCAATACTCTATTCTTTCAGGAGGATGAACTGTTGGATTGGGAGAACGACGAAGAAACCACCGTTAGAGATCGCTTCGAAGTCATTGTGACAGAAATTGAGACCTCCCATKGTTCTGAAGTCGAGTCAAAGCAACACAATGACAATAGSCTTGTTACCGGTAGCTTTTTGAATATTGGTACCCCAATTATTTCGTTTCACAATTCGTACTCGWGTTCCTTCCAAGAAAGCAGCGACGATGATAGCTCGCATTATGAGAACAACATGTACGAACTATAATCATCCATTCAATTTTCCAAACTATTGGCAGCTAGACGTGCAGGTGCTGATAGGGAGGAGTGTACCATATTCTTGTTATTGAGCCGTGAATTCAATTGCGCATCGACCACAGTAACAAGAAGAAAAAGATATACTGCAGATAATCACCACAACATGAAAATGTTTGGCAAAAACTAATTTGATGAAAAGAATTTATGTTATATTTATCTACGACGATAGAATAAAGCCGTTGCTAACAAACATTAAGAGCAAGTCATTGGTATAAGAAACCAGAACAATATCCCTATTTCAGTTGTATGTCATTAAAAACTATACTTTTCCTCATCTCCATTAAAAGAATGGTGTTCCTTTCGCATTTGTGTAGTGGAACTTTGACTGCCCATTACTGATGTTGGAGGGTTCAAGACTTTCTCGTAGGATAGTTCTTGTTGCAAGTCACGAACTCTTGTCCGTAGTGCGGAAACTTGTTCGCTCCTTTCATCCTCGAGCCGATGAATCTGCGATCGCAGCTGCGACACTTCGTCRAAATTCTCTTCCATTGCCTTCTTAGCAGAAATAGCTAAGCATGCTGCAATTTCTTCAGCTCTCTCTTCGGCCCGTGAGGATGGTCCAATGTGGTACTTCGTCACATATATTTCGGGAATTATAACAGGCATAGGCGTCTTCATTGGTTGAGGTGTAGATCTAGACTCTCTGTACCTTCTTCTGTGCTCGTTCGCTGGCGTCGAAAACATATCATCTGGAAGATGCTTGGCTTTTTTAGAGGACAGTYTAGAAAGTTTTTCTTCACCGTCGTGAATATTCTGGAGGCAAATGTCTCGTTCTCGGCGTAACTTTTCAACCATTTCATTTAAATGGTGGAGATTGTTAGTCAAATCACGGTTATTTTCCTGGAGTGTTCGCTCCTGCAGAACTGAAGCACTATCTTTTCTGTGAAAAGCAGATGATCCCAACTCCTCTTTCGCCTCCTTGAAAGCTTTGAGAGTCGATTCCATCTTTGAAATAATATCTTCGACTCGCTGGTCATCCTGGTGGCGTCGGTCTGAATTCTCTTTCAAATTCACGAATTCAAGTTTGTAACGGTGCGCTTCATCTCTAGCTATTTCTAGTTCATCTAGCACTAATTTTCKAGAGTGAGATTCCTTTTTCAATTTCTCAAGAGCATCTTCCTTTTCATTCGATGTTTTCTTGAGAGCAATTTCAATATTACAAAGATTTTGCTTTAGATGCTCAATCTCTTGATCWGATCGAGATTTGGAGCTTTCCAAATCCCGCAAGGACATCATTTCTTTCTTTTGAGTTTCAAGCTCATTTTGAAGCCGCTCTATCTTGCCATCTCGATGTCGCACGCTAGATTCACTCTCGCGCAGTAATCTAAGCTGCGTTTTGGCATCGGTTCTATATCTCTCTTCGCTATTCTTAGATTTCCTGATGTCCTCTTTTGCGGAATATAACTGGCCTAAGTAAGTAGAAAGTTCGCTCTCTCTTTCCGCCATAGATTTCTCGTGCTCGGCCCTTTGGGTCTCCATCAATTCCCGCAAAGAATCCCTTTCTCTTTCAATGCTTGACATTTGAGCACGGAGTTGACCACAGGTGACTGACTCCGATTCCTGTTTCTGCAATTCTTCGCGAAGATTAGCAATCACACCTTGATTAGTAAAYTGCAACGACTCGAGATCGTTGTATCTTGATTGAAGATTTTCGAGAACTTCATGCTTCTTATTGAGTTCGTGGATCAATTTCGACTTGTTATCGGACAAGGATCCTAGATTCTCCTCCAGTTCTCGCTTTTGCTTCTTACAAGACGAAAGCTCTGTTTTAACTAAAGACAATTCTTCTTCTAATTTCAGGTTTCTGCTTTTCTCCTCTGTAAGATCGTCTTCTAATTTCTGGAGGGCAGCCGAGTATTCAATATTTTTATGGCTAATGAGACTTTCAAGGTGATCATTCTTGCTCTTCAAACGCTGGGCCTCGCTTCGAAAATGCTCCAAATCGATATTATCTGAATCCCTCTTGTGTAATTCGGCATTCAATTCACGAATTGTCTCGACCTCTCCTTTTATCATGTCCTCCAATCGCAAACTATTCGTTTGCGAAACAGATAGATCATTCTCTAAATTTTTAACCTTCCGTTCCAAATCATCTTTTGCAAAACGAATCTCATCCGCCGACTTCGCAACCTCGAGTTTGTCGCGAATCGCATCGTCTAACTTTTCGTGAAGCTGCTGTATTTCTTCCCTGAAACGCCTGGTGTACTCACTGTGGTCTCCGTATGCTTTCTTTGCGCTACCTTTTACCGAGCTCAATGTAGAACGGAGCTCTTCGCGCTCCAGGTTCATTGCACGCATCTTCTCCGATTGTGTTTCCAGACGGAATCTAGCATCATCAGCAGCCTGTTGCAGAGAGCGTTTCTCGTTCGTGACTTCTTCCAGTTTTGTGTAAAGTTGAAGAATCTCTTGCTGGTACTTGGTGGCGTGATCATCTTGCTCCTTATCCATAGTCTTCATTGTGTTTCGCAAAGTTTCGATTTCTCCTTGAAGTYCTTCGCGCTTGGCAGCAAGCATTTTYATCTCTTCGATCTGTGTATCGCGCGCGGTAACAGCCTCTTCGGCAATGGCTTTGAGCACTTGTTGTTTCTCCCTCTCCTSGCTTAGTTTCGAATGGAATACAGCAATATCTTTTTCGTTGCGTTGCGACTCTCTACTGCGATTTTCAGAAAGTTCGCTCAGCTGGCACTGAAGTGATTCAATCGTATGCTCCATTTCTTCCCGTTCTAAAGCGAGATTTTGCAGTTCTTGTTGCGTTGATGCCAGTTCCTTATTCGTATCGTGTGCTTTBCTCAGCTGTAAATACAAATCCTGCAGTTGTTCTTCGTGCTGTTGAACGCAGTTTTCATTCTTAACGGAGGCTTTTTGCAGGTCGTCTTTCAACGTTTCCACCACTGAGCGCAATTGGTCGCGTTCTACGATCAGTTCTTCCTGCTCTTTTGACCTTGACGTGACAGAGTACGGGGAAGTGAATGAAATACATGCAGATTCTCTTCGGTGAGAGCTCAAAGGTTTCTCTCCTCCCGATGATGTCGGACTATGATTTTGCGAAGATTGGCTGATCTGATGCTGGAATAAACCTTCGAGCTGATTGGACGTGAAAGGATCATCCGGTAGATCGTATTCGGTTTGTTTTGCTTCACCGTCCATCGAATCTTCGGCATTTTCTGGATTCAAGTCCCAAAAGCTGGATGAAACAGTTTCTACTTTTCTGGAATCTGCGGCATCGTTTTCAGCCGTACTTACTCCCAGGACATTAGAAGGYTCGCTCCTTTCCCGATTGTTAGCTTCCTCGTCCATCCCATCTTGCCATTTGTCGGCGGTGAATCGTGAAAAGCTATCATCGTCACATTCAAGAGGTTTCAAGTCCAGGGTGATATCATCGTCTTCATCGACATTCAAACCATTACCGTCTCCATTCGTTACGAATTCTTGATCCAAGTGATTTGGTTTCGTAWTAGATTGATCGAGTGGCAACGTGGCAAGGCCACGAGTAATTTTTTCTTCACAGAAACCATATTCCCCAACAGGTCTCTCCTCCAGTTCTAATTCATACTCGTYCCCTACAGTGTCTTGCTCTTGTTCCTGCTCGTCTTCATTTTCAYGCAGCGAGCTTTTAATACCAACATTTTCCGTATCTTGCTTTTCTTCATCCTCGAGAWAAAAATCATTCCCTTCTGTGCCTCCTTCAGTTTCGATTAGCGCATAGTATTCAGTGCTCGTATGCTGATTGTTTTCGTTCTCTTCGCCRATGATTTGCGACTGCAATGCTGCTTCTCTTCGCACATTTTTTCCATGGTGTTCACTGGGCATTTCTATTTCACCAACGTACTCGACATGATTTTCCGATTCATTACTGGCCAAATCGTACGTGTCGCTCTCGATTTGATGAGCAGTCCTGRACTCTTCAGCTTCGTAACTTTTTGTCACGATATCTTTTTCTTGATTGGAAAATTGGGTCCCGAGGRCCTCATTGMTTTCGACCGGAGAATATTGCCCACTGTGCCGTGCATTCCTCAGTAGGTCCCGCTTGATTTCTTCTTCCGATGCCCACTCTTTGCTGAGATCCTGATCGTTGTGATATGTATAATCTTTGTTGGAGTTTACGTGGCCATCTGCTGGATAGAMTTCTTCGTAGGGATCCGATCCATTCCCATCATACACACCGCTGTTACTGTGCTTATCGTCGTCGTCACCGTGGTCTTTTTGTTGCCASAAAGGTTGCCGATGTCCCTGGTACTCATCTTTGTTAGGATAGTGATTCACCTGTCGAATTTCTTCAGGTGGACCTGTATAATTATTTGGCTGGGTGGCACTATGGTCAGAAGCAACGGTAGAATTGTCAATGGCAGAAGCACTTACGTAACTATTCATTGCAGCGGCACTTCTGGAGGGCGAGGGMGTACCCTGGGGAAAGGACCTGGCGAGCCGCTGGCGAGGATCTGTCACCAAATCTTCCATCAATTTGTCATCCTCCTCCAAAGCCTTCTCGAGGAGTTCTTCRTGCTCTACGATCGTTGCTGCTGCCAATGACTCATCTAGAGTTTTCTTGGCAGTTCTTGAAGGCGAGGGAGTTCCTACTTGAAAGGTTTTGGCGAGTCGCTGGCGCGGATCTGCCACAAGAGATTCTATCATCGTTTCTTTGATTTCCGGAGACAAGACCTCTGGCGACAACAGATTGGGACGACTGCGGTCGCCATTCGTACGATTGCTCATTTTGGCTGTCTTCGGAGTGGTTATTCCCCCCCGAGAGGTGTTTGGATTTTCCTTGCCGCCGCCAAACGGCGATGTCAAAGGCGTTCCYGGTTTGACTAAGAGTCGCCGTAGATAATTTAGGGTGGTCACCGTTTGGTGGTAATCCTTGGAAAGTGGAGAGACAGACGCAATCAAAACAATCTTTGAGGATTCCATGTACCGCTGCAACACCTTCGTGAGGGTGGTTTCTCGATACGARATGACCGGAGCTACCTCCGAGGTGTGCTCGGCGGCGTGTTTSTCCATGGCTTGCTGCAACAGGAGCTGCCGAAGGGCCTGTCCCAAACTCACGATGGATTTGCGGTGCGAAATCGATTCAATCGTTCCCTTATTGTGATTYGGGGAGGCCATTTCGACGCAGGTCACGGTCGAGCATGGTTTCTTTTCCATCTTGTAGGCGACCGCATTTTCCCAGTAGGACAACGTTCCGATGATAGTTGCACTAGCTCCATCATCGGAATTCCGACGGTTTCTACTCTCGTGGCGACCAGTCGAAAGAGCTTCCAAAAGGGCYGGCATGGAGTCAATCTCGACCGTGCACAGTCCCTCGAGCTTGGCTCCCTTCATGTCCTCGTGTCGAAGTGAAATGGAGGTAGATTTTTGGTCTGGAGGTGCCAGCAAGTCCCGAAAGTAATCTCCTCTATGAGAATGATTGCGTCCACCGATATTCGGTTCAATTAGTTCCACCATACTCAATCGAACTTTAGAAGTAATTAGAAATATGGGTTGTGAGTACGTACAGGATGAAGATAATAGAAAAGAAAAATACTAATCATTTTGATGAACGTACCAACGCCCTTGGTTTCTAGCATTGCCGAGCACTGGTTGATGATTTTGGTCCACAATCCAATGTTGTCGTTCGCGTTCGCGTTCGCGTTCGTGTTTTTGCTAGCGTTGTTCAATGTTCCAAAACAGCTGTTCTCATGCCCCAAACTGATCAAAAGCGACGACTTGTGYTGGTTCATTAAATCTTGGACAACGGCCCTTGTCACGGAATCCAAGGTGTTGTAAGAAGAAGAGGAAGATGTGTTGCTGTGCGCACTATTAGGAGTATTGTGAATGTCCTTGCGATCGGGAGATGGGCRCGACGTTGATGGCCAAATGACGTGATGGAACTCGTAGAGCCGGGCCCAATCCTCGGAAGGAATGTTGGCCACCTGGGCTACAAGTTTGGCCGTCTCCATGGTGTCCTTCGAAGGAACAAACTTCCCGAAGGCGGTGGGATTGACCACCACCATGTCCCGGACATGCCTGGAAGATTTTATGGGTGTGGCCTTGTCCGACGTCAATCGATTCGGCGTTGCAAAGGCGGAAGAAACTTCCGGGCTCTCGTTCCGTGCCTTCGCGGGAGGATCTGTATTGTGGGGAAAAATGCATCGTTTGTTATCGTCGTCGTCGTCATCGATCGCCGTGACCCGGACAACGATCGATACCTTTCGGCAGGGCTGCAAGGAGGCGAATTGCAGGTATTGCTTTCGCTGGTAGCTAAAAAAATCTTGTTCCTGGGCTTCGCTGTCCGCAGGATTGATATTGACATTCTTTTCGTTCTCATTCTCATTCTCGTCGTCGTCAAACGAACGAATAGTTGGCAAATTGGTCTTACTGCCATTTCTCGGCGAGCGCAAAAGTGGAGAAAATGGCGAGAGCAATCCATTGACAAACGACTTGGACTCCGTGTTGACAGTCCACAATCCCCCAGGAGTTTGCGGAGTTCTTTGGAAGGAGGATGGTGAAAACAGAGTTTTTGTTGTGTTTTTCTGGACACCTCCACCACTACTGAAACTCGTGGACAATGGTTGCGGGGGCCGGAGAGGACTTTTGCGAGTGACAGGGCTTTTCGTAGAATTCGTTCCAGCAGATGCAGCTGCTGTTGTCGGAACGGCGGTGATTACTTCGACGGTTGCCATAGGGGATGATAACGATCTAGATGGTGAAGGCGATGATGGTGCKGCTCCCGTAGATACTCTTCGCGGCGGCAACTTTGACTGAAATCGGCGATTATGGTCCAAAAAATTCCTAGAATTCGTAGAATTTTTGGCTGAAGCAGCAGCAGCAGCAGTAGTAGTGAAACTAGCAGCCTTTGATATCCTATCTGAACTGGTGCTGTTCGCTTTGGGATTTTGAGGACTCCGTCGAGTCGACGGTGATGCGGTAAGGAACTGCGACACAGATGTATCGTCCAGTGAATAAATGGGCTTCTTCCTAAACCTGGGAGTGGCGGAAGGATTGGAAGCGGCCGTSGAGGCAACAGAAGRTGGAGCAGCGGTTTCGRCATCCGCGCTCATGTTGTTGCTGCTGGTATCTGCCAGCCCGGGTGTTGTCCCGGCAATGATGGAAGCATCCAACAAAAAAGACACAGAATCGTTCGTATCGACGGTTTGGTTGGGGCCCCGTCTCTGGGTAACACCATTCGACGCCCCCGCATCTCGCAGGTAGTCGAAAGAAAACGAGGAATCGTCGATTCTCGAAGAGTGCCTGTCCTCGCCCATTCCAAAGACTTCCATCACGTCTGTTTCCGTCTTATCCTTCGTTCCTTCAATCAATGGTGTCAGTCGCTCCCTTTTCGAATCTTTCCACGGTGCTCTCCTCTTGCATCAGCTCCACGGACAAAACTTCCACCAGTGTCTTTGGTTTCATGCCAAAAGAAGGGAAGTGCCTGCCGTTCCAAATTTTCAATAATTGAATCCGTTCCCGTGATTGCCTCTCCGTAAAATCTGGTGCAGTTCATGCATAATACGTAGTAAAGTACGTAGGCCTTCCAGTACGAACGCTACTGCAATGGTTTTTGGCGGCAGGAGGGATGGCGCGCGGTCGATCGAGGTTTGAAATCTCTCCGATGTTTCGTTTACTTGTACGTACCGTACCGTAGGGTACCGTAGGGTACCGTACTTATTTGGCGCAGCGAGTRAAACACAAGCTAATGTTAAGTAAATAAGCTAGGGATAAGGTTTTTCAATTTGTGTGATCATGAATCATGAAGATCACASAAAATCTGATCATCTTTTTCTGTTGTAGTCCTTCCAATTGCTCAAAAAAGCACTATTCATGCTCGGATAGATATAATCTCTATACCAGCATACTAAGCTTTCGTTATGGACAAATTAGAGCTGAAAAATATACTTTTACAACGGTCTCCGATTTGACCCTATCTCCCACGCAAAGAAAATAGAAGCAGAAAATAAATACAGCCACAAAAGTATAGAAGTATGGAGTTGAATCTTTCGTTCGATGAAGGAGCAGGCACCGGGCAAACACACCAAAATCCATCATACTCTTTGGATGTTGCTACCCCAATCCTTCTTATGGTTGCATTCGGCGAGATGTTAGCTCTTAGCTTTCAATGCCGCCACCCTTGAAGATTTCTCCTCCCTTCAAAAATCCCGCCAAACAATCCATTGGAGGCTTTAGTGCCTCCGGCATGAACTTCACCTGCAACGAATTGAAGGCATACAAGGCCTGCCCAACATTCTTCTCACAGATCGGCAGCCGGGTCCCGTGCAATCGCAAGAGGCGGGCGTCTCGCAAAATGGCACYCTGGTCCGAGTTGCCACGGTATCGACTGGCGAACTGACACTGTTTGTARGTCAAGTGCATCGCGGTTCGATCCTTTCCAGACTTGCAAAAGACGAGGCCGCCTCCACCCAGCTGTTGGGCAATMGTTGCCGCTTCGTCCAAAATGCTGTGATTCATCCTTCCGGCCGAGGACAAAATGTGAGAGTGCAACGCCGCCAGCGAGGGATGGATCGGGAGAATGTCCTTGTCGGGGTTGGAGTAAGTTTGGTTCAGGTTGTTGCTCGAGTTGGACATGCTGTCGGMAAAAGTTTTGTCCATGGCAGCAACAACCTGTTCTGGTGAGATCTGCTGRGGCGAAAGAGCGTGGGCGTAGCAATTCATTTTGCGCATTGCCTCGTAGTTCAGGGCGACCAGAACATCGTCGTCGACGATTCCGACATCGTCHTCGTCGCCGTCATCTACAATACCACCGATGGACGATTGACTGCCATTGGAATTGAGTCCACCGCCACTGCTTGATTCCCTCTTCATAAGATTACTACCAGTGTTTGCTCCCCATTGGCGAATATCMACACCAACCTCAAAGAGAATGGGGTATAATCTCACGCCAATGTTGTTTTGCAGAGGAGGAGGAACGCGCTCCGCGTAGTAGGCCGCATCGATTCCGATATGAAGGACAAACCTTCTGGCACTGCCGTCTCCACCCGTCGACGTAACCTTGGTCCACTTGAGGTATGGGGAGGACGGGATCTGAACTGCCTCCGCTGGAAGCTGCTGTCCATTATCTGGGACCAAAACTATATTTGCCATTCGCAGCATTGCAATGGCCACACTGGCATCCTCGATCATTCCAAGCTCCTTTCCGGCTGCGCTCAAAAGGCCCTCGAAGCAGACCAAAAATCCGTGCTTGGCCCAGACCGCTGGCCATCCCGAGGCACACTTGTGCATGTCTCCAAGGCTTGCCAAMAAGCTCGAAGCGGCCAATCCCAGAGCCTGCGAAAAGACGTTGGCCCTTCGCACCGCACACATCCAGGTGACGTGATGCAAGACGTGGACGGACTCAAAGACCTTCCATCTCAGTTGCTGGATCTCCACGTGACGAGCTGGAACGTGGTGGCAGGGTCCCTTCTTGCGGGCTTCGGTCAGGTATTGGCCGACGCCTTGAATCAGGGCAGTCTGTGCAAGCTGCAGCTGAATAGCGCAGTCCCGTCTCTGGGCCTCAAGGCGTCTCAGCCCTCCGCTCACGTTCTTGTTGCTAACGTTGGTCAAGATGTTTCCAAAGCCCCGAGCGTGATCCGCAGGAGCACCGCACGTCACGTTGTGGAATGAAGCCCCGGGGTACTCGGGTGCCGCAGTGGCTCCGCTGTTGGCGGGTAACCGAGGGCGAGTGGCGTCCATCACATTGATGTTCAACGAGGCAATGTGGCAATTGAAGGGGATTCCGCTCAGCAAGGTGGTGGTTCTCGACGACGAAGGCCGGAAGTTTTTGGGCGTCTTGAGCGTGTGCGGAGGAGCATTTTTTTCCGGCTGGGATAGGGCCAGCTTGTAGCGGCGGGCTCTTTCCTTGAATGCTTCGCACGCSGACTGCCGCAAAGACAAATGCTGATCCATGTACTGGGTTGTGAAGAAATACCCCATGGTGTTGAGCTGTTGGTGTCGAATCGATGGCGGTGGTGCCTGCGCCGATGGAGGAAGCTCGTCCAAGTAGGGCTTGACACCATCCGATAAAGGATCCATTCCAACGAGGCTGACCAATCCATCGGTGGCTGGCAGGGTGGCCATATAGTTGCTGYCATCATTTCCATTTCCACCTTCGGGAAGCGTGACCTCCAGCTGGAGCAGTAAATGGCCTACGTCTTCTGCTCCCTTGCGCAGGGGCACCTGGATTGTATCGATTCGGTGGTTCATGCCGCTGGGATCGGTGCTCGTGGTCGTTTTTTTGACGAAGGCTTCCAGCCCCAAGACAGTCTCCCACAATTCCACCGAGTTTTTAGAATTGCTATCTACACCATTTAGAGAAGAAGTAGGAGCAAAGGGGTCATTTGAATCACTGCTCGCCCCGCCAAACCCGTCCGAGGAAGGGCTGTTGGTTTGGACTGCCACGCAAAAGTAGACTCCTCCCAACAAAAACCCACTCGAGGGCATCTTGCCCCCGTASGCCTGGAGAATTCCCGGYAAAATGTGGTCTCCATTTTGGGGAGAACAGAGCTTGGGATGAAAGACCTTCTTGATTGCTACCATTCTTCCGGGCGTCGGTCCRTTGGGAGGGACTACCGGAATAGATTCKTTGGCAGCAATCTCAAACTCGAACATGGAATCMGGTCGCCTCCACGCCACGCTAATGTTGGCGCTGGTAACGCTGTTGCCGGTGGTGCTGCCGGGAACGACCCCCAGTACCCCYAGGTGACAGGTAGCTTTGTGGAGGAGATCCTTGTGGTCGTGCCGGTTGTTTCGCAGAATCCGGGCCACAGACTGGGCATGGGCAAGGGACTTGTCACAGGCGTTGGCCGCCAACTGTGTCACCGCGGCCGCAATCGGAAGCGGCAGGGTCGATTCGGTCGCTCGCTCGTGGGCCACCAGCCAGTGGTTGGACTGCTTTCCCGGAAAGACGTAGGACTGATCGAGCGGCAGATAATTCAGGGTACTAGAGTACCCCGACATATCTGGATCCGTCAGCGACCAGCCACGAGTGAGAAYGGGGCTGAATTTGGGATCGGGCAMGATGCAGAGAATCAGGCGGGGTGGTGGACCGGGTGTKGGAGTCGGAGCTGGAGGGATGGTCATGGAAAGAGCAACGGCAGTTACACCCTCTGACAGCGCCTGGCAATTTACCATGGCACTGCCTAGCAAATAATTTTTGTTCGCCTTCTGTAAGACCAGCGTGGCACCGGATTGGATCCATACCTTCAGCAACAGCGTTTGGTGGCGCCGGGATCCGGGAATCCAGAGGGGGACCTCGAAGCGAAGATCTTTGGGCTGTCCCGCTGCTGCATCTGGATCAGATTGCTGGGTTGCCGYGGCACCGGGTGTCGGCACCGGAAGGCTCTCGGTGACTCCTAGCAATTCAGCGGTGGACGGATCGTAAACGGCCACCCGCACCAAATCGCCCGTCTTTCCCTGGTCCATCCGGACGGCCAGACCCTGCATTCCGCGTTCCAAGGTATCCGTAGTACGGGCGGCCACCTTTTTCAGGAACCCCATTCCAAATTTCCGGTTTCGTCCCTGCGAAGGCGGTTGCTGCTGCTGGACGACTTCTTGATCGTTCAAGAACGAGAACGCATCGCTGCTGCCTCCGTTGGTAGAATCCTCGGTGCTGCTGTTATAGTCGACCGATGCCGTGCCATTAGCGTCGACGCCACCTGGAGAACTAGCACTTCTCATGCTTGCACCAACTGCCAGTGCCATGTTGCTGTTGTTGCCACCGCTGCCACCCTGGATCTGCATTTGGCGTTCTTGTCGRGCCCGCTTCGAGACGGCTTCCAGGCCTCCTTCCAAGACCTTGGCGTCGATCTGGATTCCCATGACCAATCGCTGACCCAAGGGAGCGGCATACTGCTTTTCCAGGCTCGTGATGGACTTCCGAGGATCGTTCAGCTGCATACCAGACGTCGTTTCGACGACGCAGGAAGGCGGATTCCCGTTCATCATAGTTCCGTCTTTTTCGAGGAGTGCCTGCTTCTTTCCTTGCTTGCGTACTTGCTTAGTGGTTGTTTGGTTCGAGTCTTTGTGCCCAGATATCTAGTATGTAGATGGGGTCACTTAGATAGACTGCCTTCTACTGTATTCGCAGGTTTGATTCCAATATCACCACCGTACTCGGTGCTTAATATGCCAATTGTGCGGGAAGCTTAACGCTTGCATCAGGATATTTTACTTTCGTTTGCGAAAGGCATTTTACTTTTTCGGCAGCGGATTGGACTATCGCGCATTCTTGGTTCTACGCAAAACCTACGCAACCCGYGATTTCTCTTCCTCGTACGACTGCGGTAGAAACCCGTACAATAATTACTTGCTTTGTTAGCAGTAGTTTTATTCACGGTGCCTTCACAGAGCTAGAAGTACTTGGTACTTACTCGTAGTTTCCAATTTCCAACGGTCACAAGAATATGGAATACTTGTATGTCATTGAACTTAATTGCTTTACGGGGAGTGAAATGTTTGTCATCAAAATCAGCAATTCCACCCCCCTCTTCCGGATGTAAAATCATTGACGATTGACGAACGAATATGGTATCGTACGTATGCTCTGTAAGATGTTCTTTCCATACCAGAAAGTTAGTGTGGAGTATMATGCACATCCTGATTGGAAAAGTGTWGAGGAGGATTGGTCAGCCTCCCGATTCAAACGCGACATTTTACGGCTTCAAACAAGACCGTGTTGTTTACAATGAACGAGCCTCCGATTTATCAATTGATCGATGAGGAGGAATGGTTCAATATCTATGGACTGCGCATGGCCGAAGAAGCAGGCGTAGGCAGCGAGAACGAGAACGACAGAGARACACAGCGTCGCATCGCATCGGAGCAAGCCTATCAAGAGCAGATCCACGCAAAAATATTCGGGGCGGAGGACCTCGAAGAAGAAAACGGCCATGAGGACGACGACGATTGTCACCAAGTAGGGGGAGGCGAGAGGAGTTTCATCCGAGGAGGAGGAGCAGGCAGCAAACGAAGGAGGCGAGAAAAGCAGCTGGAAAAGTGGGAACACGAGGAAATCGATATTCGTTTGGAGGCATCGCTGTTGTTGGACTCCTTTCCGAGTTCGGCGTCCGAAAGCAACGAAGCAAAAGAACAAAGTCCCAAACATGTTTCGTCGTCGTTCCGCAACACCGACAAGACTGTGATTATCCGAGTCAATCTGAAAGCTCTMGCCTCTCGATCGGATACGGTGTTTGCGATGGCATCTTACCGTCACTTGTTTCAAAACAMTGCCAAAMCGTGCAACGGAACTGATAAAAGCGAGAATATCGGTGAATCGAAGTCGAATCCAGAGGGAAAGCTCTCGCTATCTCTCTGCGATTATCCAGTCGAAAGCGTCAAGATCTTTTTGCGAGTCCTGCTGYCATCCCCGCTGACCAAAAACGCAGACGCTCCCAGCGACACCGAAACCATTCCACCCGAACACGTCATYGACTGCTGTCGGTTGGCACACTACCTCCAGTGCCAAGATCTTTTGGACTCGATCGTCGACGACTATCTGATGGCGGAAGGTTCCATCGACAACGAGAACTGTCGGTTTTTGAGCAAGCTGGCGGACGAGTTGTCCCTTCCGAGGCTGTGGGAAGCTTCCGTAAATCACATGCTGTCGAGTCTAGATCGGTTCGACGGCGGCGGGGCCGGAATCACCAAGAAAAGAATCGACAACGACATCAACGATGACAACGACAACGACAACGACAACAAAACTCCCCACTACCTGTGGGAGGATCTCTCCCCGGACCTCCAGCGAGAGATCCAGGCCCTGCGCGGCATCCTCCGTTCCTCCAACCGGAAGAAGGTCTATTTTTCTTCCTACCACGAGTATCTCGCCCTGCTGGCGGAGCAGCACCAGTACTATAGGGAACGCCTCGATGACGCCAGGCACGGGCTGAAGATGCGGCTGGAGGAGGACGCCACCCTCCGGAAGGAGCTCGAGCTTCTGGAGCAAGAACGGCGATACCTCGGAGGGCGATCTTCTCGSATGGATCTCCGGATCAAGGAGACGACCAACCGGCTGGAGGGCCTCTCAAGRGGAACCGAGTACGCCATTTCGAAGATTGAGCCCCAGGCGCGAAGGGTGGACACCCTRAAGGCCCTGCTGGTGGAGCAAAAGAAGATTTTTGGCGGGGGCGAACTGTTGTAGCGCAGGGGAAAGTGCATGGCAACCCGATGCGTTCTCAAGAATGGCGAACGATGACAYTATGTACAAGATYCATTCCATCGCGGTAGAGTCGGACTAAAGCATAGAGCATTGGGGTGGAAACTTTTGAAAGTCATCTTCGTCTATTTATTCAKTCATTTAAATGTAGTACARTACAGCAAAGTACAAGCATATTTTTTTGCGGTCCTTGGTATGCCTCTTGAGAGGCCACCAACACGGMCCTGCAGTTCCAGTTTTTCTACATGCAACAGACACGGCSGCCTTCCGTTTTTTGCCTTTCGACTTTCACCTAACGGCATACAGATCAATCTACGCTGCCTTCGGCTTTTCTCCGCCGCCCGATCCGCTTGCGACTGGGACCTTGGGTCCTTCGGTCCACCCGTAGTACCCCGCAAGGTACCATTCGGTAGCCATCATGCCAACGATAAAGCAGGAG